TGCTGGCTTCACAGGGTTTGCAGAAAAAGTGCTTTGAGCCTGAGTTACTTTGTCTGCCTTCAGGTCTTCAACAGATGGGTACAGAGACACTTCTGCAGGATTTTCTCGGCTGCAGGGACCCACTCCCTGCTGCTGCGGCCTCCAGTCACTGTCAGGAAAGTTTTCACATCTGAAAAGTGTGGGCCCCGGAAGGTCCGGGAGGGTTGGTCTGGGGGCTCTGGCAGGGCACGCGGCGTCCTGAAAGGGCGTGGCCTTGTGCTGGAACCAGGAGCGAGACAAGTAGGTGAGGTCAGGTCCTGAGACGCTTTGTGAGTGTTGAGTCGTTTGGATTTGAGCCTTTAACGACCAGTGAAGGTTTCAGGCCAGAGCGCGATGTGACTTGGGGTCTGGAGCGGGGACGGGGGCTGTTGCAGACGCAGGGAGGGGCTGCTCTGGGGCCGTGGGAGGAAGGGCAGGGAGGGTTCCTGGGACAGCGTTTAACCGAGGCGTCCCGAGGGCAGGTGGCACTACCGAAGGGCCAAACGGGTGCCTCCAGCGTCAGCTGCTTCCCAGAGTTCCCTGGACCAAGCAATGGGTCTGCTCCCCTGTCGTCAGGTTCAAGGGGAAAAGTTACCGCTGCCCTTCCAGGGAGAACCACAGGTGTCTCAGGCTAGTGTTGCCTTCCTGTCCCCCCGCGTCCGAAAGCGGGCAGGTTACCGGGATGGGAGCGGTGCCCTCTGGTCTTCCTCAGCCTGACCGGGCCTTCTTTCGTCTGACAACAGGCCAGGGAACCTGATGCTCTCCAGCCCCAGGGCCCGTGTCCCTAACTGAGAGCCGCTGGAAGCCTTTGTCTCCACACCGCCCCCTGGGGAGCGGGGCTTCTGTAGCCCCGAGGGAGGGTTCCTGAAGCTCGTTTCTGTTCGAAATTCGTGCACCCTGTGCCCACGCAGCACCTGCTGGTGTTCGTGCCCGCCGTCTTGGCGGGGCGGGGCGGGGGGGGGGGGGCCTGAAAGCCGCGATGAGTCTGATAGCATGGAAACCGGCCCGCTTCTGTCCCTAGACCCTCGTTTCTGCCTCGCTGATGGACATGGTCAAGGTGGCCCGAGCAGCCCTTGGCAAAGGCGGGGAGCAGGCGCCGGTCGCCTAAGTGACCTGTGCTTATCGAAACACATGCCCTTGGCCTTCCTTAGCTTTACTGTGAGCTTCTCCCTGTTGCTCCTGGGCCGCCGGACCCACCCGCCGCCCAGCTCTGCAGGGAGCTCTCTCCCGCTGCCTTGCCCTGCGCTCTGCCCCTGCCCTTCGCTCCCCACGTCTCTCCACGACCCCTGCACGAATGGAGAAGCAATGACCTTTGTCTCGTGCTCGGCTGGTCAAGAACACCCTCACCTGCTGGTTCTGTTCACGCAAGGCACCCATTTCTCTGAGTCGGTGGGCATTTTTACTTGACTTTTTTTCCACTTAGGAAGAATTTGAAGTATTTTCCTGTTAATAAATCAGCAAAACGACTCTGGTCTCGGGTTCCTTCAAACACAAATATTTACTGAGCACGCAGTACACTCAAGACCAGGGGCACTGGCACTGGGTATGCTCAATAAATATTTGTTTTCATTGGGTTTCCCTGAAACCCAAGCTGAACTTTCTAACGGTTGGGAGCGTTTGGACAGATGCCAGGGAGGGGCTCTGAGAGTCTCACCTGCACGTTGCCACGGGATGGATGATGCAGGAGTTAGTTTGATGAACTTCATTTCACCATCATTAAAATGCCATCGCCACCCGGTCTACCGGAAGCGCGGGAGGACGGGAGGCGACTCTGGTCCTGGTGCCAGGTGCTTTGCCAGGTTTCCGTGGAAGAGTTCGGCTTCGAGTTACTCAGTAACCACAGCAGGGACCTCGCTCTGCTGTTTGTTCCCGCCAAGGTCTGGCTCTTGATTCCAAGAAAAGAACAGCCCGATGCCGGGCAAAGGCAAGGACCAGCTGAATCACCTGCTATGGCCGAGGGTCCGGAGCACTTCCAATATTATTACTCACCGTGAAGGAATTATTTAAGAAAAGGGAGGCTGGTTGAATGCTCCCTTCCTTCCTCTCCCTGGCTCCCCAAACGGACCCCGAGCACAGCGACACGCAGACAGTTCCTCTGAGCTCCTTCCGACCTCTTCTCCACTCAGCACAGAGAAAACGGATGCTGCCGCGAAGTGGAGCCTGACAGTTACCTGACGCCGGTCCTTGAGGCCGCCCACCCCCACCCCCCTTGAAATGGCTACATGTCACCATGAAGAATTGGATTTAAATATGCTTTTACATATTGAGACGTGCACGGTTATTAAAACATGTTACAGAATACTGATGGCACTGTGTGTCTGTGTGTGCGTGTGTGGAGACAGACAGACAGACGGACAGACAGACAGGCCCAGGCTGGTTTGCCCTCTGCATACAAGCCCTTTCTTCCCTCCGTCATCACACCAGACTGAGACGCGCCAACAGGAGAGGGATCCGGATCATCAGACTGCGGACAGCGGGAGGCGGGGAGCACCGTGTGCGCAGGGTGCGACCAGGCTCGGGGGAGGGACCCTGACAGACCAACTGAAAACCGCAGTCGGAATGTGCATCAGAGACAGATGTTTTCTAACAAAACATGGGTGACCAAAGAAAAAGGTGACGGTCCCTGGGCTCATTTCTGGACCCTGGGTTTTGAGGGAATCAGGGAATCATGAACAGGCTTGGCAGAGACCACCCAGGGAGGAAGCTGAGGGCGACGCGTCCTCAGGCTGGCCCCAGGAAAACAAGAGGACAGTGAGCGTTCACCTGGATGCTGTCTCCACAGCCAGACAGGAGGACGAGGGTGCGAATCCCAGCTTTCTGACTGGGGCAAGTTCTAAACCCTTGAGAACTGGGCATAATAGTGTCTTCCTGACAAGAGACTTACATAAGCTAACGCCTGTAAGGCACTTAGTGGATCCTGATACACGAGGAAGTAGATTTAAAAAAAAAAAAAATACGTGTGTGTGTGTCTGTGTATATGTGCATGTGAATTAGCTTGTTTATGGTCGGTTCCGGTCACTAGCATCTTGCTGTATGAGGGCAGGGACGATATCGCATTCACCATTCTACTCCCAGTGTTCAGAACAGTCCTTCGGTCCTTGGCACAACCGTGTTCCTTAAATGTTAGATGAATTAACCAAATCCTATCACATGGCACTTGGGTTGTCTGTAGGTTTCCGTTTAATGTCACGTGCCACTCAGACGCTCCCAGCTCACAACGGGAAAAGGAAATCACCGCAGCCGCTTTTTGGTAGCCGGTGACAGCATGAGCTGACGTCTGCACAGCCAGAGCCCTGGGCACACTCATGTGCACGACTTCGTCTGGCGAGCGTCTTCTGGGAGGACAGTAACTGGCAGCCAAGTTTGGTGATGCATGAATACGTCACATTCTTCAAAGTCCTGAGGTCGTCTGGCCCGAGCATGGGAGACAGGGCCTGCAGGACTGTCGGGGACATTTTAGGAGCTGCGCACATCCTTCGCAGCAAGGTCCCGTTGCCCAGAACTGACTGCAGGAGGGGCTGGAGGCAGAACTTAGCTGTGTTCCCAGGAGGAAGTGTAACTGTATTAACTCTAACAGCAGACTAATGGATGATCTTTAATTCTTAAAAGTCCCTGAGAGCTCCGTACTCTGTGCCCATCTAAGATTTAAAAACTCTGCCACAGAGGGAGGCTGAGCCACACGACCGCGACTAGACAGCGAGTGATCACGTGGCAAAGCCGGGGCTTCGCTCTGGACGTCCTGTGATTCTCCCGTCACTTGGGGTATTAGAAATTCCAGACAGTATCAATCATTTCGATGGGGCTGACCTTCTCATGACTTACCTGTGCTTACACATCAGCTTGGAGTGCCTAAAGGCCTCGGCCTAGAATATTTTCAGTCCATTGTTGACAGACTGTGGTTTTTCTTTAGTGCTCAGTCCTATTTGCTTTTTGATCTTACCAACCAGTATTTCAAAATATAAGAAAAAGAGTTTTGTTGTATTATTTTTATTATCGAAAAGTACTTTCTTCAATAAGAAAGAGAATGCAACAGGATTTTTTAGATGTCCTAGAATTCTGTGATAACTGGGTTCTTTTCTATATAAACATATGTAAGTACAGCAGGCATTTAAAAGGGTGCCTATTATGATGATCATATTCAAAGATTGAAAGAATTTGACCTAAACGCATGTAAAGGCGTAGTTAAATGGCAGATGCTGGCGCCTTGCACAGCCCTGGGAGACTTCTGGCCGGGCCAGGCCGACCTGAGCTGTCTCCCCTTCAGACACTGAGCTGGTCACCAGTGGGGGCTCCTAGTTCTCCTTTGGCGCTGCCCGTGACTCCTGTCCCCACAAGCCGCTCTAGGGTACATGGTCCCCTCTTGTTCCCAGTCAAGACCCTATGGAACAGGCCAGGTTCAAAGACAGAAAAAGAAATTAAGGTTCATAGTGACATCTTGCTCCCAGCCCGCCTGTCCACCCCGGCCCCTACCGTTCCCCACTTTGTGGTGCAAAAGGCGCCATCCTATACACACTGCTGGGCCGCTTGCCTTTTCCCGCTCTGCTACCCTGGAGCTCGTTTGTAGCAGTACCCAGGGAGGACCCCCATCCGTGCGACACGTGACACAGTTTTCCAGCGAGCGATGGACGCTGGTTGATCCAACCGGTCTTCTCTTTGCTGGTACAGTCAGGCTGCGGTTGGAATCTCACTCACTCACGCAGGCAGCTCTGTGGGGGATGCCCCCCGGAGTGGGGTTTCAGCTCTCAGGCCTGTACAGCACCACGCCCCCTCTAGGGAGACCTTGGCTGCCACCCTTTCTTAGGTGGCAACCACCCCCTGCTCTCATCACCTTCTGTCCCCTGGTCCTGTTGTGTTTTTCTCCGTGGCCTTCATTCTTACCTGACGTGTCGTGTGTTTGTTTTGTGTGTACTGCTTTGCTCTGTGAGGGCTGCTTGTCCTCCCTGACCGGAGTCCCCAGGCCCAGTCCCCGGGGGCACGGGTGCACTCCCGCGTTTGCTGGACGTCAGAGGCTGAACAGGAGACTTTTCGACTGTCTTTGATGTGCAGTGACGAGGAGCCTCTGAGCAGCCCGAGCCCTCGGCGCAGTACCTGGTAAGTGTTCGCTCTGCACACGGGACGGAGACCTCAAGGGGTCCGGGGTCTAACGCAGCCCAGGGCGCGGGTGCGGCTTCAGTCCCGACAGAGGTCTCCCGTCTAATGATTAGGGAACTCTCTAGAACTCCTGTGGCTGGACCAAGGGCAAGGAGCTCCAGTCACACAGAGGGCGCTGCGGGTCTCGCCCAGCTACGGACGCCGTCGCAGCTGTCCTGCGGTGCGGTTTCGGGCTATTCAGGAAGAGAAGAATAGAAACGGGCCCTTCACCTCCATTGGTTTGAGTTTATTTAGTCTCCCCAACAACTATAATGAGTAAAAAATTACAGCACACACCAACCGTGATTTGGTTTGTTTGCTTTTAAAGCATTTCGGCAGTTGGGCTTTTAGCTGCCCCGCACTCTGTCTCCTGAGCCCCCGGAGGAATTGTACGCGGTTCCTCCCAACCAGCGCAGCCACCTCAGACGCATTGTCCGCATGCCCCCGAGGCCCCTGCTCTGGTCCCCTCCCGTGATTTCATCTGTGGATACAGGTGTGACCACCGTGTCTCCTGGTCTGGGTCATGGATGTGTCGGTTTAGGAGCCTGAAGGTAGCACCTTGTTCCAGAATGTTCCTTTTCTCCCCACTCTGATTATATGCAATGGACTCTCCCTTTCTCTCCCTTTCTCTAGGGAAGCCTGTGAAAGAGAGAGCATCACGCTGAGCAGGTAAAGGCTAGAATTTCTGGATGCTCAGCTCATCTAGTTATATTTACCTATTTTCTATCTCCTGGTTTGGTTCACTGGAGAAAAAAAAGAATCCTGCAAACTTGTCCTCAGCCAAGCATTTTCTGCCCAGAGTTGCATCTGTGAATGTTCTTTTGCCTGTTTGGTTATGACGAAGAAGAGAGTGAGGGAGGATGGAGGAGAAAGGCTGGCTTTGCTTTCCCTGGACCCGCCTGAACTTTAAAACTTCTCCACTAATTAAACAACGCTGGGCCCCACGCTTTGCTTAACCCTGGCTGCTGGTCATCAGCCTTCGACCTCCGTCCTCCCCTCCTCCCCTGCCCCTCCCCCACCCCAGCCTCTGGAAGCTCGGATGTAGAGGAAGGAGCCAGTTTTCAGAGGATTTGCCGCGGATCACACGACCGCCACCTGCCCGGCCCCGGGGAAGAGTAGCCACCATGTTTTCCGGAGGGACAGGACCTGGAGCTGCTGGGAAGAGGTAAGGGGGCGAGCGTGCCCTTTGCGTGCCCTCCCTGGGTCTTCCGACCTCGCAGGAGCCACGAGGGGACCTCCACACCTTCGAGGAGCCTGGGCCCTCTCCTGGGGGTGACCACCAAACCTTGGGGGCCTCCCAGCAAGCGGTCCGGGAGACCCTCCGAGGGGCAGCCCCGGCCGGCCGTGCCTCCGAAATGATGCAAATTTCATCTGCGAGGACCTCCTGGCTCCCTTTTCGCTCCTCCCGTGTGGCTGCCCCCCTCCAAGGTCTCGGTGACCTTTGACCAAAGGCCCGCAGCCCTGTTCCCAGTCCTCGACACCACATGTTCCCTCCTTGGTCTGGTTGCCGCAGGGAGCTAGACGGGAGGCTGTGGCTGGACCGCCTTCGTTTTTCTTCGTGTTTAATGGAGCTTCCGGGGCCACCCAGCCCCCAGTTGCATTTCCAAATGCGGCTGAGGGACAAAGTGGGAAACAGAGGCAACAGATGGGGAGATGAAGGGCAAGATCCCCTCTGCGCGTCCTCCCCCGCCCCCCGCCCTCCTTCAGCGCCTCCACGGCTCTCCCGCTCTGGGCTTCTGTTCTCCGCTCGGCTGTCGCGCTGGCCTCAGACGCCACCCTGAGCAAGTGCCCCTGAGCTGCCCGCAGCTGCCGGCAGCGGCAGCCTCGCACGCGCCCAGCGGACTCCCCAGCAAAGCCTGTCTGCCCTGCGCACCCGTCTTTCCCTGCCAGGGGAAGGCTGAGAAGGCTGGTGCCCACATACACGCTCCCCGCCCTGGACCCAGGGACCCAAACCAGCCGGGGGAGGCCCTGGCCCTCCCCCACCCCCCCAGCCACAAAACCCCAGGGGAGAGTTTATCTCTTGGTTTGCTGCATGGGTGTCCCAATTCTAATCAGCCAAGCTCATGGGCTCATTGTTTTAAAAAGTGAGATTCGTTTCATTTACCTTTAGTGAACCCATGTTGGAAGCTGTTAAGATTTCCCGGCAACAGGAAAGGATGAGGCCTGAACGAAGGCAGGGAGGGAGCAAGGAAAAGAATCAAATCTCCGTCTGAATAAACGGGGCAGGGCAGTGGGGGACGGGAATCAGGGTGACTCCCAGGTCTCTGGATTGGACCCCAGGGGGCTGAGGGTCCCCTCTGCTGAGCCGGAGGTGGTGGAATGAGCGGCACGTGTGTGGGGCGGGAATGAGTTCAGCTCGGTCATGCTTCACTAAGGCAAGCGCAGGGCGTCTGGGCGGGGCGTCCCGCAAACGCGAGGCTGGAGCGCCCCGCCGGGCTGGCGCTGCCGATGCGGGGGTTCAGGGCCCGGCCAGCGCCCCTGGCCACTCGTCCCTTCTTACCCCTCTTGTGTTGCTGAAATCTCTCCGCCGTGTCCACGGGAACGCTTCCAGGCCTTGACCGCCCAGGTTAAATTCTGTCCACTCCCGAGGCCTCCCCCGCACGGCTCCGCACGCGGCCCCGCTGCCGCCCCCACTCTCCCCCGGGCCCGCAGCTCCCTGTCCGCCCGCATTCCACAGGCGCCCGCCCCATCTCACCCACTGGGAGCTCTGCGCTCTTTGTGTCTCCCCGCATGGGGCCTCAGGCGCGCAGTACTTCTAATAACCACCAGCTGCTTCAAGAGTTGATTCCAGTTTCAGCATGAACTATCTATCCACCTGCGAGGAGTCCAGGACTGGACTCGTCCCGCGCCCCTGTGCTTTGCGAAGTCCGAGGCCGCACGGGCAGGCTGTACTGTCTGTGCTTCGCCGGGGCAGCCCTGTGACAGACCGCGGGCACGGGGGTCTCCCAGCCCAGCTTAACTCAGCTTTCTGTCCCCCAGGAGGGTCTGTCTCCTCTCCTTGCTGCTCCTTGGCCTCTGGGGCTGTGGGACCTGTCATGGGAGCCCTGTAGAGGACATCTGCACAGCCAAGCCTCGGGACATCCCTGTGAACCCCATGTGCATATACCGTTCCCCAGAGAAGAAGGTGTCGGAGGATGCAGGCTCAGACCAGAAGATCCCCGAGGCCACCAACCGGCGGGTCTGGGAACTGTCCAAGGCCAATTCCCGCTTTGCCACCACCTTCTACCAGCACCTGGCAGACTCCAAGAATGACAATGACAACATTTTCCTATCGCCCCTGAGTATCTCCACAGCTTTCGCTATGACCAAGCTGGGGGCCTGCAACAACACCCTCAAGCAGCTGATGGAGGTACAGCCCGCAGCCTCCTGCCCGCCCTCGGCCGGGCCTTGCTCTAGAGCCGGCTGGAGACGCCAGGAGCTCTCCACTGTCCCGCCTCTCTGTTTCTTTTCCCTTTTATCCTTCCTACCCTTGATTCTCCTTTCCTCCGAGCACACAACTCGGAGGCGCTCCCAGCTGAGGCGGCTCGCGGTCAAGGCCGATGCCCCTGCGCTCCTGGCCCATGGTCCCAGGCTGCCCCAGCAGACCCACCGCCCTTTTCTTTTGGCTTCTACAGGTTTTTAAGTTTGATACCATCTCCGAGAAGACATCTGACCAGATCCACTTTTTCTTTGCCAAACTGAACTGCCGGCTCTATCGAAAAGCCAACAAATCCTCCCAGTTGGTATCAGCCAACCGCCTCTTTGGAGACAAGTCCCTTAATTTCAATGAGACCTACCAGGACATCAGCGAGGTGGTGTATGGAGCCAAGCTCCAGCCCCTGGACTTCAAGGTGGGTCACACATGCCACCCCGACCTCGGAGCTCCTCCTTCCCACTCAGAGGCGGAGGAGGCGAAGCGGGAGCCAAACGAATGGAGCTGTGCTAGTTGAAGGCTGGTAGAGGGGCTGTGAGCCAGAACGCCCAGAACACTGACACGGCCTCGAAACCTCAGAAGTCAGTTGTATCTACGGATTGTAGCCATGCCCTGAGAAAGTGGTAGACATAATAAACCCTTCACTTCACCTACCAAGTTCACACATATACCAAAAGCTACGTGGGAGATGCCAGCCCTACAAGATACCTTAAGTGTTTTAAAGTTACCATGGTTAAGTAAAGTTGGCGTACGGTGTGTGTTACATACTCCCCTTGCAGGCTCAGGAAGCCCCGGAAGCTATCAAGTGTCTGAGAATCCCGCAATCACGATGTCTAACCGACTTTAATTCAAGCACCATTTCCTAGGCTTTTCTGACCACACGAACATCCCTCCTGTCCCCTGCCCCCCCCTCACCGATTAGCTTCCCCCAGCACATGGGGGGACCCTGAACTCACGTGAGCTCCCGGCACTGTACTGGACACGCGAGGCCTCCCCACTCCGGGGGAGGGTGACGGCCTGGCCACGTGGTGGGAAGGGCGGAGGGAGGCCAGGGGGACTGAACCCCTGTCGGGAAACGGGGACAGCATCCGGCCAGCACAGGTGGGCAGGTTTGTTCCCGTTCTCCTTAGGGAAACGCAGAGGCGTCCAGCGCGACCATCAACCAGTGGGTGGCCAACAAGACCGAGGGGCGCATCACTGACGTCATTCCCCCGGATGCTATTGACGAGTTCACGGTTCTGGTGCTGGTCAACACCATTTACTTCAAGGTATTGGCCTCAACCTTCGCAGAGGCCTTGTGATGTGACCTGCAGCTGGCCTTACCTCTCCGAGAGCCGAGAGTCCGAAGGACCCTTCCGGGCTGATCACATGTAGGGAGGAGGGGGAGGGGGAGGGTAGTGGGAAGAAACAGGCCACTGACCCAGGAGGGTCACCCGCGGAAGGCAGGCACAGGTGCCCACCCATCCTGGGCCGTGCTCCCTCGGCCCAGCGCCCCGCCCCCAGGGTGGGGCCCAGGGGCGCAGCCCTTCACTGCTACCGGCAACCACTCTGCTGCCTGGGGCTCTGTCTCTCCGAGAGTGACTTGGGTCACATTTCCACAGCTTGCGTTGCCCCTGACCGTTCGCAGAACACTTTGCCATTTATTAGCCCTCCTGTTCCTCCTACCATCACAAACGGGGCCTTGGGCCACTGAGACAGGTTCCTTCGCTGAAATCCAGACTCTCGCGTTTCTGACGGCGTGAGCTTGGCCAGCTGCGAGCCCCTCTGCTGCCCGGATTTCGGCATCTGTAAGACGGTGGCGGTGACACGCCCACCACGCAGGGTTACTGAGGGGACTCAGTTAGTGCACGTAGAAGGCTGGGAGCAGAGCCTGGTGCATAGGAGCGAGCAGTAGCTCCTAAGGCTGCAGATGAAGACCGGTCACGCAAGGAGTTACATGACTCGTCCCCGAATCGAAGAGCCAGAGGATGGAGAGGAGTGGTACAACTCAGAAATTCCAAAGGAGCGCCTTGGATGCCCTCCCTTTGAATAGGGACATGGCCGGGACTCCCCCTGTGCCGGGCAGGGCTCCCGGCCCAGCCCCTGGCGTTGCTCCGTGTGTGTGCCCGTCTTCATCCGGGCAGAGCCCAGCAGTTTGGAGGGTGGCCTTTGAGAAAGAGGCTGGGGGGAGACAGGAAGCAAAAGGCAATTAGATTTAAACTGAAGAAGAGACTTCTGAAGAGGGCCAGTAGATTTGGTTGTAGTTACTATTTTTCTTGTTATAAAAGCAAATAGACAGTCGCTGCTAAAATTCTGGGAAATACAGAGAAGTTCACAGAAAGAAAACCCTCCTGAGCCCATCACTCTGTTCATCTTTTCACGCAGACCCCTCCGGCCGGTTTTCCTGATAAGCTACGGACATGTTAATGTACTAGAATAACGTGAACATGCCCAGGGCAGGACGGTCTTCTTGCTTTGTGATTCTCCCACTGACGTCTTCTTCCAGGGCCTGTGGAAGTCCAAGTTCAGCCCTGAGAACACAAGGAAGGAATCTTTCTACAAGGCCAACGGGGAGTCGTGCTCGGCGTCCATGATGTACCAGGAAGGCAAGTTCCGCCATCGGCGAGTGGCGGAGGGCACCCAGGTGCTCGAGCTGCCCTTCAAGGGTGACGACATCACCATGGTGCTCATCCTGCCCAGGCCTGAGAAGAGCCTGGTGAAGGTGGAGCAGGAGCTGACCTTGGAGGTGCTGCAGGAGTGGCTGGACGGGCTGTCTGAGGTGATGGTGACGGTCCACATGCCCCGCTTCCGCATCGAGGACAGCTTCAGCGTGAAGGAGTGGCTGCAAGACATGGGCCTTGTGGACCTGTTCAGCCCAGACAAGTCCAAGCTCCCGGGTGAGTGGAGAAAGGCCTTTCCTCCCTTCTCTGCCCCCAAGGCAGCCTGACAGAAGGTGGCGAAGAGCCGGGAGCTGCCCCAGCTGGCTTCCCCTCCAGCTCTCCTGCTTGCTCAGGTTTCGCTTCTGGCAAAGGGGGAGTGGGCGCCCCCAGGACCACGGGCCCAGCTGGCAGGGAGGCCTTTGAGTCTGTCCCTGAGAGAGGAGATGAGACCAGGTAGAGAAGAAGTTGAAAAGGCACCAGAATGCACAGCAGAGAGGCAGGTGTGAGGAAGAGCTGGGGACATCTGGGTTCCACAAAGAGGCAGGGCTGACACTGGGCAGCCCCTCACCCGAGAGTCCCCAGGACCCACGTGTTTTCCACTTGGACAGACACAGCCAAACATTTCCCAGTTGGGATGTTTCAGTCATGATGTTCAGTCGATTTGGTTCTTCGAATGGACCATCCTTTAAAAATGTGCATGAGAATATCTTTTTTCAAACATTAGTTTACAGTGTTAGGGAACTGGGTTTCCCTTTAATGGGATGGGATGTCTTTAAACTAGATCTGAAACCAATCCCTCTCTTTAAAATGTTGCCAGACTGGAAAGAAAGACATTCCTACCAGCTGGAGGGAATTTTTCATTAAGAAGAGTCCCCTGCCCCCCTACCCCACCCAAAGCTGAAGCGTGAGACCAAACCCACAGGAGCGAGGCTGAAGGAGCCCAGCGCCCTTTATTGCTGTTAATGTGCATGTATTTTGAGGGTGTCATTAGGTGAGCCTCCAGGGCCGCTTCCTATTTTTCAAAAAAGCCCCAAAGGACCTCTTTGCTCAAACTGAACTCCTTGCTGCTGGCTGAAACCGACCTTCTCCCGCGTCGTCTCCCTTGTAGGCATTGTGGCCGGAGGCCGGGACGACCTCTACGTCTCGGATGCGTTCCATAAGGCATTCCTTGAGGTGAGTACACCTCCTTGGGCGCTCTCTGCTTTTTCATCCCATGTCGCTTTATGGCTCGTGCATCAGTGTCTCGTGTGGTTTGGAACGTCGGGGTTCTTGCTCCCCGGCTGTCACAGGAGAGAGAGCAGAGGCGTGTACGGCAGGAGACGACTGTGGAAGAGCCACGTTGCTGGTGCCCCTCAAACCCCAACACCGTAGCCCCTCCCTGGGAAGGCTGCTGCCGTAGAGCCCAGCCCCAGAGCCCTGGGGTCTAAGTGTTCCACCCGCCCTCCCACGACCTCTCCTGAGGCAGGTCAAGCAGGGACACAAACGTGAAGGCCAAAGTGACACAGGGAAGGGAGCCAGCAAGGGCCCCCGAGAAGGGATTTCGAGAGGGGTCAGGACAGCGTGAGCTCATGGGAACCCAGGGAGCAGTTTCAGGAAAATGGAAAGCAGCTTATAGGACTGCAGCGTGACCCCGGGTTCCTTTTCCCCGAGGCATTTGGACAGGATAACAGGGATGCAGCCTAATGACAGGCAACAGGAGCACAGGGAAGGGGGGCCGGGCGCTGGGAGTGCGGACAGCTTTCTGAAGTGCAATCCCGAGAGCCAGCGCTCTGGGCTACGTGCAGGTAACGGAAAGCTGGCGGGTGAAGCAATGTATTCCCTCTCCCTGGGACTCTTGGCGAGCATGAACGCACACTAGCAGGGGGAAGCCTGGGGGTCTACGGTGAGGAAAGCAGTTCAGTGTTCATTGCTTGCCCCGGCGTTGCCCCAGCTAAGGCGCCCACGGGACCCTCTGCTAGAGTCGCAGCTGTGGGAAGCTTGTACACTTCTGGTTCTCAAACGCATACTGAACCGGGGACCACCAGTGGCCTCCGTTGTCGGGAGGCTGGACTCTTGGCGAGTCCAGGATGGGGCCCAAGAATGTCAATTTTCAAAGCTCCTCAGGGGATTTTTGATGCACAGCCAGGTTTGGAAACCACTTATGTATACTGTTCTTTGGGGAAGCAGGCTGTGAGGGGAACAAGACAGGCCAATGTTAGAAAAGGTCGTAGGATCAAGGCAATCGGAAAGCAAGAAGGCCATGGCCGAAGAGCGAGGTTGCAGCGCCCCCGCTCAGTGGGAAACGTGCGGTTAGGAGAGGGGAGGAACCAACGGGCAGGCGGAAACTGGCTTAACTGCGATGAGAGTGAGAAAAGGGGAGCGCGCGGAGAAACGGAAGGCTAGCGTCCGAGAGAAGGGCGGTGTGTGATTTCAGGGGCAGGGCGGTTCAGAGAGATGGCTCGTTGGAGTGTAGCCACTGGACTGGTTTGCTTACGTGGAGCTGAAGGGAACGCTCACTGGGTTTGATGAGGCGGAAGAAATGGGAAATCTGCTTGTAAATGTGGTCCCAGGATGATCCCGGAATAGATAGCATGGGGAGACGGGGGTGGGTCAGGCGGGGATAAGCGCGAGAGGCATGGGGAGACCACCCACAGCGAGCTCCACGAAGCTGAGGGGTCTGACGAGCTTGCATGGGGAGGCCAGGACAGAGGTGCAGTGATATTCTGGGTCCCCACGACCAGCTGTCCAAAGGCGTCTCCATCTAGGCGGGGGATGGTTCTGCTTATCAGCACACTGCGATGCCACCCTCTCGGTCTATCCCGCCAAGGAATGCTCCTCTCACCCAACCAGAGCGCCCTCTTCTCCTGAGCCCTAGGTCCCGAGGGGCTGCTTGGGGTAGTCACACCCGGGACCCTGATGCTCCAACAGTGAGGCCGTCTCAACCGCAGAGCTCCGACCTTGGGTCAGAATCTCTCAGCATCGAGTACAGAATAACCCTCGTCATCCCGTGTATCATGGTGCCAGCCAAAAGGGGGCGCTGTCTACCTCGAGATTTCTACTTCCGTGGTTGCCTAAATGGATCCAGCCACAGGCGCGGGTGCATACAAGGGCGTACATCAGCACCCACTGGATGGAAGAATGAGGAATAGTAGGGTCCCGCAGGGAACCCGGCCTGGCCCGGGCAACAGCCAGCACGTGGAGGGCTGGCTGTGTCTGTGCGTGATGTCCCGGTGTCTGAGGGACTGCAGAGTGGCTAATGCAAGAGTCTGTTTCCTCTCTGGCCCACAGGTAAACGAGGAAGGCAGTGAAGCAGCAGCTAGTACCGTCGCCTTGATTGCTGGCCGTTCGCTGGGTGCCAACAGGATGATCTTCAAGGCCAACAGGCCCTTCCTGGTTCTTATAAGAGAAGCTGCTCTGAACACCATTATCTTCATGGGCAGAGTAGCCAACCCTTGTGTTGACTAATGTGTTCTTAGTCTTTGCACCTCTTCCTGTTTTGGTTTGTGAACAGAGGTACAAATAAATACGATTGCTCCCATCTGCCAAGTATGAATGGACATTGCCGCCTGAAATGAAGAGGAGGAAAGGAGAAACTGACAGACGTGCTGCTGGGCGTTTGGTAGAATGATGCTTTTCATTCTCTCTACCAGGGAACAGCAGGGGGCCAGGACAGCGGCGGGTGCGGGGGCGGGTGGCTGTCTCAGTGCCTTCCCTGACAGACGGCAGGCATTGCAGGGGGCAGGGGGTTTGGACTCTCGGCCTTCCCACCTAACTAAAAAGACCCCAAAATTGAAAACGTGTTAACCTCTATGTACAGAAAAGTCAGAGACTCAGATCTGAGTATTAAACCGTTTAATTCTCAAACCACTCACATGCATAATGTTCTTTTACACAGTGTTAAAATAAAGAGGAAAATGTGTTTTTTATACAAACAGAATTTCAAGTATACATTAATAGACTTTTCAGATTACTAACCAAGTTGCTAAGATTTCATTCACATTGTTCTTAAAGCTGTTCAACGAGAAAGCTTTTGCTAAGCTGCTTTAAATATGTTTATATAAACCCATATCTTCACTCTTTTCTCTGAATCTCCCTCCCCCAACCCCGGTCGCTGCCCGCCCCCCTGCCCCCCATCCCCAGACACGACGGGCTCCTGGGGCTCCGGGAGACATGCAACCCCACCAAGAACATTGGCTTGTCATCAGGGGAAGGACAGACTCTGCAGGAGGAGAGACTGAGGACACCTGTCAAACCAAGGGCGAGACCAAATCTGATGCTTAGACAGGAGGCCAGTCAGGCTCAGGCTTATAGCCTTCGTTCCCACCTGGCTTCCTAATAAAAGAAATCAGCCTCCCACAAAACAACCCAGAAGTTTCTGACAGTTTGGTAGCTGAGAAAATGACTTAACACTGGGTATTTTCCCCAGTGAAACTTCTAAAATCAGAGTAGGCATTGTGAACTTTTTCATTTTGGTTGTTTCTTTTTCCCTTTGGCAGGGGGTGGGGGCAGCTTAAAGTGGATGATATTGTTTGTATGTTTACATTAAGGAATTTGGTTAATTTCACAGAGTCTGGCAGGGGTCCTCCCTCCTCAACTCTCCTCCTGAAGTAATCTGGCTTCAGGGCTAGGGACAGCCACTCTCCTTAGGAATTAAAGTGCATTTCTTCAGTAAAAGGGTGTGGGGGGAGGTGTGGTTTACACTTAAGTGATAATGATTAAAAGAGGGTGGGGTGAGAGAAAATCCTATTCCTATATATAGGTATTTATAATTAAGGTCATAATAAAAACAGATTATCCTCTAAGGAAGTAAGATGCACAGACGCCGCCCGCACCCTTGCGGGGCTCGAGCACTCGCCTGGCTACGCCGCCTTTTCTCAGGCGTCTCGAGGCGACTTGGAGGAATCGCTGTAGATGAAAGACACGAACCCTAAGGGTAAGTTTTTTCAAAGGGAAAAAACAGACTAGTAGGTTCTTAGAGTTAAAAACTATCTCATTCCCTTTCAGGGATAACAACATTTTAGAAATTGATTGTCTGTTTTAATATGAATCCTTGATAAACAAGTTGTGAAAAAAACGTTCGGTTAGCTGCTGCTTACAAGTACCGCGGTAGCCTTTACAAGCCCGGGCGGGGGCACGGCTGGGTCTTGCTCTCAGCTCGGGAGGTGCATCTCCCTGGGCTCTCGTGACCTGGCAGCTACCACTCACTGTTTTCCTTTCATTGCGTTACTGTTTCTCGGGGGGCAACCCCGGGAGTTTTCCAAAGAGAAGTAAACGCTACATTGTTAGCTGTTACGAAGAAGGGATGGGCTCAAGGTAAAGGGGGAGTTGTCCTGGATTCTGGCCTCTGAGTCCAGTGTGATCTGTTTTTCACAGTGACCAGGGGGAAGGCACAGTGCCAGGGACAGCGGGTGAGGACAGGTGCCACCCACCCTGTAAGCACCATAGAGAACAGCTGACAGATACCTTTCCGACCACGTCCACCTGAGGAAAACCGAGGCTCGGCTACAGGACTCTTTCGTCTGAGCCCTCCGCCTTCTCTCCTCCGAGGCAGAGCACCGGGTCCGGGGAGGGGGGGGGTCCCACCCTGAAACAGGAGGAGCCAGGAAATCCAAGTGCTCTTCCAGCGTGCTCTCCCCTTCCTCACGCCTGCCGACAGGCCCCAAACTGAGTCCTGATCCTCGGATCCCTTAGAGAAGCCGTTGGTTCCTGACTGAACCGGCGGGTCTCTTTAAGGTCTGCTGTGAGATCACGAAAGAATGCCTCGGGTTCAGCCCGTGGGAAGGTCATGGGCAGGGACGGGACACACAGCTTTTGCCTACAGCTTGGGACGGCTTTCCGTTCGTTGAGAGGAGGGGGGTGGGGCAGGGCGGGGCACTGGCAGTCAGACCAGCAGACGGTTAGCTGCTTCGGGAAGGGTTTCTTAGAGGTTTCGGAGGCATCAGCCAGCCGACCCGGGAGGGCGGAGGAACCTGACCGAACTTCACAGTCCTGTAGGGAATGTTTCATTCCTTGCTTAAAATATAGTACTGGTTTATATATTTATTTTTCTACCACTACTCCTCCATCCTCCTCCTCTACTCTCCCCCTGCCCTCCAATCTTAGAATCCAGTGCGGTATGACCTGCATACAGTCCAACAACGTTTCACAGTGCCCCACAACGTTCCTCAGTCTGACATTCCTGATGGGCAGCCCTCCGAGGCAGGCAAGCCCCAAAGGCGACCGCTTTCCAACCCTGCCCCGTGTCAGGGGGCCTTTGTAGTCTTCTAAGGCATAGGAGGCATATTCTCTGGCATTGCAGCATTTATGTGCTGAGCGAACAGCCAGACATTAATGTTACTGTAATGAAATTCCATAGCCTGATGCTAATTCAGTCCTCTGTACCACCCAATCTTTCCTTTTTCTGCTCAAACACGCCACCTATTTGAAATGTAAGTGATCAGTTATCTGTAGGCAATACTATATGAATGAATTTCTATGGTGCCCAGAATGGTCTCAGAAGACAGACTGCTATATTGAACTTGCTCTTAAACACTAATTTCTTTCATGACTTAGAAATCACCTGGTAGCCCGGTAGTTTGAACAGTGGTTCTCGCTTTTTAAGGGAAATGGGACAGTTCTCCCCTTTCTATTACCGTGTGCGAGGTTGCCCTGGGCAGGTATCTTTGCTACCTGGGGTGGGAAGAAGGAAAGATATGGAACCTCATTTGGGAATTACTGGACCAAAGATGCTAAAAGGATTCATTTCACATTTCATATACAATTCAGAAATATTTAAGCTTTAGCTAGTGCATTTCATTCACAAAGAAATAGGAAAAAGGAAAGTCACTTTACGCTGAAATCCCGCTTGGAAGACAGCTAAGAGACGAATAATCAAATGGATCACCATCGCCCCAGAAAAGAGCCCTTTTTTGCCTCCATTAACTTCAACAATGCTGCTGGGTTGATTTCACATACAGAGTCACCTTAGCTGGCTTGGGCGTGGCTCTTTAATAAGTTCAAGGGCTCTATTTTACCTCACAGAATTGAGAGATCTCCACTCACATTAAATGCAAAGGAAAGAGGATTCTAGAGACTAGACTTGGAAAATGTTTTGCTCACTTTGGCATCCTTTGCATTTGGTGCAGAGAGAAAACCGGGTGGATGGCAGCCTCTCTCCCTGGAATTCCTCTGAGGACGGACGGACATTCCATTTCACCGCCCGAGCTGCGGCCCACCGGCGGCTTTAAAGCCAGAGCCGTGCCTGGGGCACCAATAAAGGCACCTGACGAGAAAAAGAACCAGACTGCGGCTCCTGCCAAAGCCCGCTCAGGCTCACCTTGACGCGGTCCTCCGTCTTGGCTGCCCAGTGGAACTGCCCGGGAAGCTTTTTAAGCCCAGGGCACACAGCAGGCCAATTAAACATGAATGTCTGGAGGGAGCCCTGGGCATCAGTAATTTTGTAAACGCCCCCAATGATGGTGACGCGCAGCCACGCCGGGGATCTGCTGGCCAAGGCCGACAGCCCTGCGGGAGAAAGCTTTCAGGCCAGGGCTTGCCCAGGTCAGAGGGAAGGACGTGCCTCAAGGAAGTCACCTAGGCATTTCTCTCACCTGTGTGTTTGCTCTGTTTCTAAATAAACCACTTTAGCTGTAAGAGGCCACATCGCCAACAGTAAGTTATTGACTTTAAGTAAAACTGCACCTTACGTAGGCTGTGTAGCAAAGCCGCTGGGGACAGGCCTGGGACGGGACCCTGGGCACAAACAAAAGATAAGCCAGAGGGAAGAACGGCCCTACACAGGGGTCAATTCCTGAGTCTAGGGTGTTAGCATTGCTCAGGGGCCCAGACGACTCCACAGTTTGAAGGAAAGCAGCTGCGGGGAACAGATTTGCACTGATTTTCCTGCCTTACCTCCCTACAGGGTCTCGACTGCATTCAGGCAGAGGCCACGAAATGCAGCAGTTGTCACCTGTGAGTAAGGCTTGCGTCATTATTTGGAATTTCACAGTGCTGGTGTCATCACTAGCGCTACCCAGTCACCAGGTAAGTGAACACTTACCCGCTAGCACCTAAAACACAGAAGCCAGCCGCTAGAACTCTGAACATGGATCACTCTCTCTCATTTCCGCTCCTACCCAGAGAATCCTGGCTGAGACACTGCACCAGCCAGTGCAACGGAAAGGGGAGCAGAGAGCACTCCAGGGGGCGAGCCAGAGAAGGGCCGGTGGCCCTTCCCCCCGCCGAACACCTGCAGGGGGGTGTGGGGGGGTGGGACCTGACTTGGCTCCGTGGACCAGTGCCCCAAACAGCCTGTCTGTTGAGTGCTATACCTGGATTTAGAGATCGGCGACTCGCCTAGAGGCGCTCTACAGCTGACATGGCATTTCCTGACGCCCACGACATCCCGCGAGGCCACTTCGACCATTATAACAGAATCAGCGCTACAAACAGGAGTCCTTCAGAGTGACGAAAAGCAAAATGGTGCATCCAGAAATCCATGTCATGCACACCCCTATGTCAAGACACTGGCAGAAGGCTCATTATTAGAAAAGTATGGTT